AGAGGGTGAGGAAGGGGCTTCAGAGGGTGAGGAAGGGGCTTCAGAGGTGAGGAAGGAGTTTCAGAGGTGAGGAAGGAGCTTCAGAGATGAGGAAGGCTGTTGCTGTGCTTCCACAAGGTGATCTGGTAGGGATCTTGGATTGAAAGAACAGCCACCACCTCTCCTGGATGGGAACAAACACTGATCCCTTGCAAGCTGTGTCCTTCCCACCAGAGCTGCTTCCCTGGACATTCCAAACATTCCCCAAATAATGTTGGCATTACTTTTTTTTCTTTGTGGCCACAGAGTTGTGATTGCTTGGCCACAGTGGACACAGGTGTGTTTGCTTTCCTGTACCTGCCAGGCATCTCTCCCTTGGGATCCCCCCTGGAAGGGACTTTGGGAGAGGAAAGGGGGAGTTTGGGAGTGGAAATGGGGGAATTTGGGAGAGGAAAGTTGGAGTTTGGGAGTGGAAATGGGGGAATTTGGGAGTGGAAATGGGGGAATTTGGGAGAGGAAATGGGAGAGTTTGGGAGGAGAAAGGGGGAGTTTGGGAGCAGAAAGGGGGAGTTTGGGAGCAGAAAGGGGGACTTTGGAAGCAGAAAGGGGGACTTTGGGAGTGGAATTGGGAGAGTTGGGAGTGGAAATAGGGAATTTGGGAGTGGAATGGGAGAATTTGGGAGTGAAAAGGGATGGTGAAAAACCATCCTATCTCCATCCTGCAGTTTGCATGGAGATGTGTTTTAAAGACCAGGAGAAAGGTGGAATGGCCATGGGCAGAGGAAATTCAGGCAGAAACCAGCCATGGGCACCTCGAATTTTTGGTGCATTCGAGGGAAGAAAAGTTAGTCCAAGCTGAAGGAACAATTCCTTTAACCAAACCACCCTCAAGGCTTCCAGTAAAACATGTGCCTCATGCAAATGTATTTCCTTGCTTCAACACAGGAGGAAACGTTCTCCTGCCAAGTCACAGGTTCCAAAGCATTTTGGCATCTCCAGAAAACAAACAACCTTCGGATTGCTTTTATTGGGCGGGGGGCAAAGCCCAGTTTGCAGCACGACACACACACACAGCCTGAGAGCTGCAAACCAAAGCTGCTGTTTGGGGCTGGGCTGGACTGGTTTGGTTTTGAACCCGTGGATGGTTCTGCAGAGGGAAAACAGCACTTGGGAATGTGGATGTCTGATACTAAAATCAGATGTGGTTTGTGTGTTGTAAAATGACTCGGTGGGTCAGGTTTTTTAAAAAAAAAAAATCAGAAAATCCTTATTTTTTGAGCAACCTGGACTAATGGAAGATGTCCCTGCTCATGGCAGGGGAGTGGAATGAGATGAGCTTTAAGGTCCCTTCCAACCCAAACCAGTCTGTGATTCTCTGATTTTTTTGACTCTCACTGAGCAACCCTGAAGGACTGTGAGGGTCCTTCCCTTCCATCACCTTTCCCTTGGGATTCTCTGCCTCTGCAAGTCAGAGCTGCCCACAAAGAGCCAGGTCACAGGTGCTTTGTTTTATTCTCTGTTCTGCAAAACACGTAGCAAGTGCCATTTGGGACTCAGCTCTCAACAAAGGGCATTTGGGTTCTGAGCAGGGCAGGGAGCAATGAGGGGTTCTGGGTGCCTGGCAGTTCAGAGCCTTGGTTTTCCATAGGGAAAATTCCCAGCTCGTGTGCACGGGGGCTTTCACAGAAGGTTCTGGCTCAATTCTTCATCAGTCACCTTGAAAAGCATTTTTTCCCAGTAGGGTAGCTGTAAAATAACAAAAAACAAGAAAAGCTGTGATCTGCTGTTGCCTCTCTGTGCAGTATTTTTGCAGGTGATTTCATGGGTGTTTCTGTTTTTACGCCAAATTTGGTATTTTAAATGGGTCTGATGTTTTAGGGAGTCCTGAGAATAGAAAGGTGGGAAAACCTGGCTCAGAGGGGAACTTCTGGAGTCAACCTCCTGCTGAGATTAAGAGGAGAATTATCCCAAGCTTTACCTCAAATCAGATATCTGGGAACAAAAGGCACAATTAACAAATATTGGGTTTTGTTCTCACTTTTAGAGGTTTTTCACAGAATGTTGATTGTTTATTTGCAAAGGGTTTGGGGGAGATGTACTTTTTTTCTTCCCATTATTTAGACTTAGGACCCCTTTTGGCTCTCAGTGCATCATAATGAGAATATGAAATTCCACCAACAAATTTTTGAACCATTATTTCAATATTTTCTTTTAATGGAGAACTTTTCACTGATATAAATTTCTATAGATCAGAGGTTTTTAAAAGACTTTCTCAGGTGTTTTCTACATGACCTCCTCTCTAAAGAGTATTAACATTCTGAGACAGACCCACTATACTTATATTTTACCAGAAGACAGAGACTCTTACATAGAAGTTGGTGATCCTGAATCTTCCAAGGATAGCATAGATTTTCCTGCACAGTAAGACAGAAAAGAATGATATTGTTCCAACACAGTGAACAATAATCACTTCTGTGGAATACTTGAAAAGGTGATAAGCAATCAGATTTCACTGAAACAAGCAGGAAGAGCGATAAGAGGTTTACTACATGTAAGCAAAAGTCATAATCAACCCCTATAATAAATTTATGAACTTTATATAGGATTTAATCCAACTCTTTTGAAATTTATGGCTTAAAATTTCTTAGTAGGGAGCAAAGGCAGTAGTTTGGCAGCAAAACACAAGTCCTGGAGTGTGGATTTTAATTCCTGGACTGCAAATCTCTCCTGTGGAGGTGTTCTACTTGCTAAGCCACGAGTTCTCTGCTTAAAATTTGGTTTTATTCTCTTCTAACCAGGGAGATGACACAGTGCCAGATCCATAAAACACCCACCTACATTTGCCAGAGTCCATCCTGGATTCCTGCACTTTTCCTGGGCTTGAGGTTTCCTCCACTCTTTGCTCTTTTACAGGACTCGGACCAGTCTGAGCCATTGCTGCCTCCAGGCTTCCAGTGGCGCTTCTTTCTCCTCCTTTAAAACAAAAACACATGGATGTACTGGAGGGAACACCTCCATTAATGCCTCTTTAAGTATTCCAGCATGCCAGACACCAGACAAGGGCCATTATTTCCCAGTTTCATCCTTGTGAAAAATGTATTTCCTCTCCCTGCCGTCATCACTGAAGGTTTTCTGTCCCTAAATTTATCTCTACAGACATAATATGTTCTAGAATAAGGTATATGCATGTTTTTTAAAAAAATAAGTCAGTAGAAGGGATTTTTGGGCCTGTCTCTGTCAGTTTTGCACTGAATGAGCTGGATTTGGCCCCAGAAGCTGCTCAGGCCACGCAGGTCCCTGCTCTTTATACCTCAGGATTTCCGAGCACTCGCGGTGCCATAAATCTTCTACACACAAAAACCCGACCTTGCTTCCAGCAGGGCTTCAGCATTTCCATTTCCTTCATTTGCTTTTTGGTTAAACATGTTTTAAAAAAAAAAAAAAAAAGCCAAACAACTTCTGGAGGACTTTGCTTGCTTGCAATTCCAGCTGAGCTTTCAGGCTGCACCGGCCACAGGACGGCCACGTGTCCCCAGAGGTGGAAACATTCCATGGGTCAGACTCCAACTCTTGGAAATCACAAGCCAAAGGCCTTGCAAAACAACTCCTGCAGCCCAAAAGGTGTTGCTTGGCCAACTTACCCGTCTTCTTTTGAAGTTTTATTTTGACCAGGGCGAGAGCAGCGACAGTGATGCAAATCAGCAAAGCAAGAGCTGGGAGCACAGCTGGGAGCAGATGGGATTCACCTGATGAGCTGGAAAGATGAATCACCAGAATTAAACAGAATTTTGGTTCCCCTCTGTGGTTAATGCAGGTTGGTTTTTTTACCCCAAAGAGTATAAAGGAGCTATAAACTCTGACTGAATCAAAGAACAGTCAACGAAGTCGAGTCGGAATCATTTGCTCTGGAGTTTGTCTTAGGAGGAAATAATTTCTACATCTGCCTCTGCTCTGCTGTGTGGGGTTTGTGCTGCCAGCTGAATTAGCCCCTCCAAAAGGAAAACAAGCTGTTTTCATGATACAAATTCACAAGCAAGGTCCATACATCCTTTTTGTGAGTTGTTGCAGACCCTGATGCTGTTGGAAGGTGTCTACAAACCGTCTCCTTGCAAAAATGATATACATGCTATCAGAGCTCCCCAGGCTTTGCCAGGAATGGTGGAAAATCTGAGCCTTTATACGAGATTTGCATGATTTGTGATTAGTAACATCCTCTCCCCTCCTCTTTCTGGCTGGATGGGTGGGAGATATGGCTTGGAGGGGGCTGGGGATGGAGAGGATGGTGTTTCTTATGCTGGGGGTCAATGGGGCAGATGTGAATCCAGGGTGCACATCTCGACATTGGACTGGATTTGTGGGTTTGTCCAGTTCAGTTATGGCTGACCCTGGAATATCCAGTGCATCTGCACCAGCCACACAAATCCTTTCCCCCAAGTGCTGGATAGTGGACAGGGCTGGAGAGAGAAGCGTTGGAGCTGCTCGCAGCCATCCTGCCCAACAGGAAGCACAGGAGGTAAATTCACTTGGAAACCACTTGAGCCACAGGGCTTGGTGTGGAGAACTACCATGGAAGAATCACTGGCCAAAATACCCACAGCCTTCTGATTAACCTTGTCCAAAGATAACTCCTGATGCAACACCGAGCACCCAACACTGCCCAGGCTGCTGCAGGGGCTTGGATAAGGTGTGCAGTCAAGTGTGCAGCAGGCACAGATTCACCAGGGTATTGCTCAAGCCTGATGTTTCCCAAGGTCCTGTCTCTGTACTGAGCAAAGTAAAACAGGCAGGAGCACATCTGTTGACTCTGGCATCTGGTCCACGGGAGTGGGCAGCACCAGAAGGTTTGGAGAGAAGTTCAAAAGAGATGTGTACATGGACGTGAGGTAACCTTGCCTTCTGCTTCTCTGACTCCTAACATCTCCTGCAGGTGTTTTCAACTTGCAACCTGTGCACAACCTCTGTAGGGCCCTGGGAGATGGGGCAGGGAGGTTGTAAACCACTAAGTCTGTACCAACGAGATACATGGCTGTGGAATTACCTCTCGTGATGGCTTTCAGCTGGGGAGGTTCCAGAGGTGCCAGGGGTGGCAGTGGGCAGCAGGGTGCTGGTTGTCCTGGTGACAATGCCCACCATGGTGCTCTTGGTGGCAGTGCCCACCGTGGTGCTCTTGGTGGCAGTGCCCACCGTGGTGCTCTTGGTGCCAGTGCCCATCGTGTACACCCGGCCCCTGATGCTCCTCTGTGTGGGTGTGCTGGAGGCAGCCGGGCTTGATGAAGTGGACTTGACAGGAGTGGTTGTTTCTGGGTCTTGTGAAGAGCAGAGTTCTACAGAGAACATTATTTTAAGGCTTTAATATCTGTCTTCTTGCAGAGGCAAAGTGTTAGAGTTGCCAAAGATTTATGCATTTCACCTTGCATGAAAAAAAAATACCAGACTCAAGCATTTTCTGTTTTCCTTTGACTCTTAAAGAAAGCAGCTTGGGACCACTTAAAGCTTAACACTTGGCAAACATCCCCACTTTAACCCCACTATTTCTGTCTCTGCCAGAGGAGCAGTTCCATGGATCTGTGTATTTACATGCTGCAGTTTCTCAAACTGCAAACTTCAGCTTATCTTCAGAGCCCAGCATGTGTCTCTGCGCTGCACCTGCCTGGATCAGGACGTCATATGCATCATAAAGAATCAATAATATAATTCAAACCAATTAAATCCCTTCTGAAAGCTCAGCTCACATCCCTGAAACCCTCTACCATCACCTCAGCCGCTTGCTGATAACTAAGGCAAAATGCAGAGCTGATGTTCCTCACAGTGTTGTTATCACAGAATGGTTTTGGGCTGGGAGGGACAGTAAAGATCATCCTGTTGTGTTCCAGGCCATCCCACCACCTACCCCTGTGGATGTGCAGCTTCACAGAGGACGTGTGCTCTGTGTGCCCACTGGTAGCCCTGCACCAGTACCATCCTGAGTCCTCCTCTCTCAGCTGGCTCATCACCACCGTGAACGTCCCGTGGTCGGGGTCGCTGCTGGTTGTTTGTACTCTCCCTTTGTAGGACTCGTGCACAAACCCGTCGGTGTCCAGGAGCAGAGAGCAGCTCCCTTCCTCCCACCTGCACAAATACTTCTTCTCGTAGCTCCCCTTGGGGTCATAGTGGCACTGGAAGGACAGGGAGCCTCCGACTGTGCCGCTGAGAAATTTGGGTCTCCTGGGAAGAGCAGAGGCTGCAGGTTGGAGGGGACAGAATTAGTGTTTAATGCTCCTCACCCGGCGCTGTGAGGAACCTGTGCAGCCCCCTGTGCCCCGTCCTACCTGTGGTCACCTGCAGAGCCACCTCCTGTGGGCTGTCCAAACCATTCAGCCTTTCCACCCCACACCTGTACAGTCCCGAGTCTTCCTTTACTAAGTCATTTATCAAGACTTTGAAAGCTCCAGAGCTCTCCCGGGGGGTGATGAGGATTCGCCCGTGGTATCTCCTTCCCACGTAGCCACTGGAGTCGGCTAGGAGAGTGCAGCTGGTTCTTCCCACTTTGCACCAGAACCTCCTCCCACCACTTTGGGTGTCCCCAGAGGGGCACAGGACTGTGACAGAGCCATGGAGCTTCCCTTGGACGACCTGGATCGGCCTCGACACGCCGGCATCTGCAGGGAGAGAGCAGGACAGGGACTGTCCAGCACACAGCCAGGGTGGGGAGAATTTCCTTTTGCATTTATGAACAGCTGATTTGTCCAAATCTCTGTGCTTTTACACCTCATTACTGTAAGTATAGGGGGTATAAAAAGCTGATACACCTGCTGTGCCTGGATGCTCCAGCATCCGATCCCAAAGCGCTCCTGGGAGCTGAGCTGGTGGTGGAACGGAGCCTCCCCTGTCCCCACCCACCTGCCCAAACCTACCTGCCGAAACCGTCAGGTTCAGGGTGACGTAGAGGCCCCCCCCTGGTGGGGCCGATGCCACATCGGTACCTCCCCGTGTCGCTGCCCTTGAGCCCTGTCATTGTCACCGCGAAGGTGCCGTTCTGGGGGATGTCCCGCAGGAACAGCCGCCCCTCGTACTCCCCGGAGGCGGGGTCGGTCGAGGAGACGAGGGTGTAGCAAACTCCGTTCTCTGCTATTTTGCACCAAAATTTCCGGTCGTGTTTGTTGGCGGGTGTGATGGAGTAGAAGCACTGGTGGGTGATGGACCCCCCGACCCCACCTGTCAAAAACCTGGGTCCGTACAGGCTGCCGGAAACCGGCTCTTTTGGGGAGAGAAAGAAAGAGAAACTGTTGGTTACTCAGAGACAACCAGATCCCACCTGGCAAAGCCAGCCCCTTCGAGTCAGGGCTGTGATTCTGAGTGGCACCAGTGGGACACCCGGCTCAGAGAGTCCACAGTTTATTTTGGATGTGATGTGTTACCTTCCCTCAGGACTACATTACCCATCTATACCATGGCACAAGTGGAGAGGCCCTTCATGCCCCTTACAGGATGCTCCAGACCCCCACCAGCCCTGGAGTTAAAGGTCAAGGGCAGCAGTTAATGGCAAACATTCAAGAATAACCTTTGGCATTTGCAAACTCTGCCTGATCTGGCAACTTCCTTCTCCCCGTGGATGCTGCAGCGAGAGCAACGGAGAGCTGGGATTCTCCTCCCAGCTCTGGCCACGCTTTGCTGACTCTCTGCAGATTTCTAGTGGGCAGGGAGGGTGGTTTGACTGGTTTCCATATTGCAGGTGGAGGTTTCTAGTGTCCAAGTGAGGATTTAGCCAGAAGTACACAGCCTGTGTCCCCAGTTCCAGCTTTACCTGTTCTTATCAGCGTTGCTGGCTGGAGACCTGGTTTCTTGGTGACTCACCTTGCAGCAAAGCTGCTAAGAGAAAGAGAACCACCATGTCCAGCCTTCCCAAGTGTCCACTCAGCAAACTCCAACAATCTCACGCTGGGGATGGGATTTTGCTGGTTTCTGTGTTATCAAACAGAAGAGAGAGACGGTGGCTGGGATCTGCCGAGGTAACCCACTGGATTGCTCTGACAGGCACTCAGAGCAGAGCAGGCTCCCAGCTTTATTTATTTATTCCCCAAAATAAGGGAATTTCAAAAGGAAAAAGCAGTGGTGATAGTGCTCTGCAGATCTCACATTCCTGCATTAAATCCTCTGCTGGGGGGTAGGATGGTTACTAAAGGCATTGCTGGCAATGAGGGGACAGTGGCAGCCGACCTTCTCCCTTCTCCCTTCTCCCTTCTCCCTTCTCCCTTCTCCCTTC